GGACTATTTTGAAGGCGACAACATTAATGTAGACGAATGAATAAATATTTTTTCCAAAATACGGAAATTCCCGTCATTTTTTGAACACACCTCGTATATTAATGATTTACCAAAAATAATAATGCATTATTTGCAGATGACACCAGTATTATAATAAGTGACACTAAGAAGTTAAACTTTGAAATAAATCTTAATCAAACTTTCAAAGATATAAATACATGGTTTAATGCTAATTTACTTACCTTTAATTTTAATAAGACTTAATCTGTCAAGTTTCGACCTATGAATTATTATAATATCACTACTCAAATTAACTATGATCAGATAAATTTACCAAACGTGACAGACAAAATTTCTGGGATTAATTATTGATGATACTCTTTCATGGAAACAGCATATTGATTATGTTATTAATAATATTTCCATTGCATGTTATGCATTGAGAAATATAAAATATATTGTCCCTTTAGATACGTTAAAGCTAATTTATTTTGCTCATATACATTCTATCATAAGTTATGGTATAATTTTTGGGGGTGGTTCTTCTTGTGTTAACAAAGTTTTTATAATGCAAAAGAAAGTTATTAGAATTATAACGCATTCTAGATGAAAGAGTCTTGTAGGGACATTCTTAAGAATTTGGAAATAATGACGTTCTACTCTCAGTACATATATTCATTACTTTTATACACAATTAATGATAAACGTTTATTTAATTTTAACAATGAGATTCACAAATACAAAACTAGTGCCATCAATAATTTATATTTACCTGCAGTTAACCTAACAAATTACAATAAACGTGCATACATATCAGATATTAAAGTTTTTAATCATCTTCCTCAAACAATAAAAATGTTGGCTACTGATGTGAGAAGCTGTAAATCTGCATTGAAGAGGTTTTCATATCATCATTCTTTTTATTCTATGAATGAATATTATGAACATAATTGGTTATAAGTGTGTAAGTTTGTATGTATTTAATTCAGTTAATATAAGTAATTTAAATAAAAGTGTATAATTATTAAATTATCTTATTACATTTTTTTACTTTATATTATCATTTATGTTAATCGATTAATGTAAGTGATTTTGATTGTGTGACTCGTGTAATTTTGTATATGTATCTTGATATATCTATTTTCAAACGGATCATTTCCACATCCTAGGAAAGGAAATGAATGAATGAGTTCTTCTCTTTAGAGGAAAATGAATGTATGCCATGTTGTGGTTTCAAGAATAGGACTCTTTAGTGTCATTGTCCAATTGTTCAGGCTTCACTGTGTTGTGGACAATTAGGTTCAGCCTGTTATGTAATGAGGGCTGTTAAACCTTACATGTCAGAGGAATCAATGATGATTTATTTCTCATATTTTCGTTCTGTTATGACTTACAGTATAATTTTCTGGGGCAGTTCTCCCTACAGTATTTATATTTTTAGGTCACAGAAAAGTGTAATTAGAATTATTACTAATTCTAGAAGAAGAGACTCTTGCAGGGATTTGTTTAAGAAACTGAAAATTTTGCCCTTCCATTCACACTACGTGTTTTCTCTCCTAATATATATGGTTAAAATCAGAGAATAATTTAAATTTCACTCTGAGATTCATAGCATTAATACAAGACACAATAACAATTTCCATTATCCAATAAGTAATTTAACAGTATTTCAAAAAGGAAAATACTATTTTGGAATCAAGGTTTTTAATAATCTTCCTTCTAGCTTAAAAACTTAGCTCATGACACAAAACAATTCAGATTTGCCTTAAAAAGATTTCTATTTTTAAATTCATTTTACTTGTTCAAAGAATATTTTAACTTCAATATTAATTAATGATCTTGGTCTACTACATACTGGATGGCTAGTAGAATATTTTTATGTTTTATTATTGTAGTCTTGTTTCATATTAGTATATAGCATGCTTTTACATATATACGAGTATTCTATAACTGTTTAATGATTTTCTCAGTGTGATTTGTCTCGGATAACATGTGTAATTCTGATGGATTAAGTACAATTAATTTGTATTTATGTAATTGATGTGACTTGTCTTGTTGTCTTTGACTATTTCTATATCACCTGCTCTTCCAGCCATGTAAGAATCCATGAACTGTAAATAAATGAATGAACATGCGAACAGATAATAATGGTTCACTTTATAACAATATTTTACTTCATTACCTGTTCTATTCTCTTGACTGCCACTTGGGTGTTCTTCCAGATTCCTTTGTAAACTGTCCCAAATCCTCCTTTGCCCAGAATGTTTTGTACAGACCAACCTTGAGTTGCTTCTACCAGCTCTTGATAGTGAATCTGTGGTATTGAACCACAGTTTTCAGTCACTGATGACACATCTGATACATCTGTATCACAAAGATTCACAAAATGGTTAATAATCTCAGTTCAACATAAATGTTTCTTGCTAAAAATGACACTGTGTAATTTCTGCCACACATTAAGAAATTACCAAGTTTTATACAACTGACAAGTTGTGAACACAACTCTTGTGGTTACAAAACTCAAATATTAACTTTCATTCTTATATTTTGGCCACGCCATAGCTCAAGCGGTTAGTTGCTGGCTTCCCACCGTGGCAGCCTGGGTTCGATCCCGGGGCTGGTCAAGTGGGATTTGTGGTGGACAAAGTGGCGCTGGGGGAGGTCTTCTCTGAGTACTTCGGTTTCCCCTGCCAATCTTCATTCCACCAACTGCTCCACAATCACCCTCACCTATCATCTGGAGCTGGTACAATAGGCCAGAAGTGGCCGCAGTACAAGGGACTTAGTCCCACCCCACTAACAATAAAAAAAGTTTTATACATCACAATAAAAAAATTATTGTTTCCTAGTGGACTAATTTCAGTACATCCATTGTAACTCTGAAGTCTGACTTAAATTTTTCTATGCTAGATTGGAATACTAAACTTCTCTAGTCACCCCTCCACGAAAGAAAAATCCTGAAGATAGTACTGGCATTATGAAACTTAATGACAAACCTGAATCAATCAAACGATATAACTAAAGCGCCAGTTTCGTTAATGCTAACAATAACATTCCTTTTTTCAGGGCTTACCACCTTCTTTACTAGCCTTGCACATTTACACATGTGGATCCACTACAAATGTAACATTTTCTACTCTCTGAATTTATATGCAACTTTATGCAATTAATGAATTACTTGTCATTAACGAAGATCACAAATTAATCTTCAAACAGAGTTTAATATTGTAACATGTAGTACCATTGTTATGCAAAGATTGCGAGAAGGAACATGTGTAGCTTGGTAATGGCTCCATAAACAAGTTCCCATGAAAACAATATTCTGAGCTCTCACCAGGCTACTGCAACATAACAACAACAGTGGGACTGTTGGAGGCAGTGTTTTCTGTTTGGTTCACCCTGAGGCTATATACTGAGGACCCCAGGCTGGCTGAGTGTAGTTCAGTTGAGTGAAGTGAAGTGAAGTAGTTCGTTTGTGAGTGAGACAGTTTAGTTGAGCTCTGCAAGGGAGGATGAAAAGGGATGGCTCTAGAGTTTACAGTTGGCAAGAGTTCAATTATGGGATATTTGCTAGACAGTAACATCGTGAGCATGCGAAGCTGAAGAACCTCCACTGTTAGAAGCCATTGCTATGGAATGGCTGTTGAAGACAAAGTAGGCTGGAGAAGGGCTTAGCAGGTGCTGTGGTGATTTGTAAAGTGTGGAGATTAGTGATAGTGCTGTAAATACTTGTAGTTCCAAGTTGTGTCAATAAATCCAATATAAAATCCATACCCCATCTATAGTCACACTCCTAAATCATGACAATATATATATTTCATTGTTTTAAAGTTTACTTTTATATAACATAATAATTTTGGGTCATTAATTGTATTGCAATAGAGACGAAAAATGTTTCAATGCATATTTATTTATTTATATATTTTTGGTTTATTTTACAATGCTGTCGGTACGTTAGACTATACAGCATCATACAGTTGGTGAATGAGTATGAAAAGATGTGAAAGGAAGTAATCATGCCCTAACTGACGCAGTATCCTGGCACTCACAAGTAGGAACTGAGGTACACGTAGCCAGTCCCATATTACATGTCATCTCCCCTCCCATTTTAACTTTCTAACCACCAGAAGCTATTTTGTATATTTTATCATTTACACAAGACATTTATCACAACATTTCTCATTGTAAAATGGCTCCATTTAACCCCACAATTCATTAACGATACATTCTATTTATTTATTTACTTATTTACAAACCACATGATGATGGTTCATGTGACCAAAGCAAACAGTGGTAATGAGACAAATAAAACTGATTAATCCACTGATATATTTTATGTATTTTAATTGAATTTATTAAAATTAGAATAACTTTACTTTGTTGTTGTGTAGGCAGCCGCAATACCTTCATAATATAACACAATAGGATGCAAAAAAATAAATACTTCAAATTAAGCAATGACTATCCATAATGTGTATATATTAACCGTCTTTTAGTGCATACAATTTCACTTGTCACTTCACACTACATGTTTTGGCATCATTCTGCCATCCTCAAGTGTATTATTTACGTTAAACCATTGCACTGCCTGCCATCAAGTGTCCATTTATAAAATGATATAAAATGTGTGTTCATCGTCGTTCAATAATAAAATTTATATATTAAAACATGTTAAGATCTATCATCTGACATGTCATATATCACACTCATGTGTAATGCCATTCATCCGCTATGGCAGTCGTTCTTCTTATGTTTTAATTATGTATATACTGTGTCTTATGAATGGCATTACACACGAGTTTGATATACGACATGTAAGATGACAGATCTTAACAAGTTTTAATATATAAATGTTATTATCAAACGACGACGAACACACATTTTATATTGTATATTTATATGTATTATACTGTATTGTGAAATTGTATGCACTAAAAGACGGTTAATATATACATATTATGGATACGAATCAGTGCAATAGGACACTAAAATACAACATTAAGCAATGACTGCAGTCTTCCACATCCTTTGAATTCAGTATCCACGAATTATCTTAAATTTCTGACACTTCAGACAATATCATCAACTAAACCATGAAAAATATCAGAATTACTTTGTGTTACTCACTTGACATCTTTCTATGCTGACTATATCCAGGAGCATTATTCTCCTTGTTGTCAGGTGGAAACTGGCATACCCTCTCTTGTGAAGTTGGTGGGGTCACTCCAATAAGAGGTCTGGGAAATCTGGCTGCTTCATTATCAGATTCTGGCACAAACGCAGGAGAAAGCCTCATGGTATTGAGGATCTTTCTCTCTGGTTGCTGTTGCTCTGGAGGAAAGGTGAGTTTGCTATGAGTGTATTCTGTTGATTCAGTTAAATTCAAGTTATGACGACCAATGTCCAGTTTCTTGTCTCCTGATGGCCCATCTGCTCTTGATGCTTCACCATTAACTGCTGCAACTGACTCTTTTCCTGCAGCAGCTGCTTCTTTTGCTTCTGTTGACGGCACCTTACTACCTGCACCCAGTGATCGGATGCCATTAGACAATGGCCTCAACATTTCTTCCCCTTCATAAATGAATCGGTGATAATAAGGATCAACTGAAAATAAACAAGGCAAGGATCAGAAGAGATCAGAAGTAAACTTCAACATAAAATGGTATATCTGCAAATATCACAATCATGCTGCATTTTACAAGATGTCCACTTTTGTTGGAAGTATTCATATGATTTACATTAAAAGTAAAGTAAAAAAGTAAAGCTATCCCTGTAAGAGGCCATGAAGGCCCATAGGGTTGTGAGATGTTGAGGGTCCCACATTATCTAGACAATAGGCTCATAGATGGCGGTAAGGTTGTCAGCCTTACGTGCCTGCCGCGCTTTACTCCCCAGGAAAATTATTTAATGAATTCATGGTACTCATTTCTGTTAGAGGTGTGTCTAAAACTATATGATCATTTTCAATAACATCCACACTAAATGGAAATTAGCAGAATAGAATGTTGTTTAATTTAATGTGGCTTTCCATAGGGGACTCAGGTTTCTATGGCGGTATTATCAATTCAATTTCACTACTACCAACATGAATTTCTCATAATAAAATAAAAGTTACAAAAGAATTTACTTTCCTACAAGCAAAATCATATCAAACGGTGCTATTACAACATTCCTGGTTTAAGAAATAAGGTATATGTGTACCACTTAAATAAAAAATTGCATTGCACAAAATCATTTAGAATCACTTCAGTCAAAGTAAATTCTATATTAGATTATCGTGCTTTACCTTAATTTCTTGTTGGTATATATGGATAATGCCAAAGCTGGCTTAAATACAACAACCTTCACTGTACATTCAAGCATTAACAAATTCTTCAGACATTTCTAATTAGTCAGTGAATAATATGATTCTGAAGCATCACTGGACATCTTAAGTTAAATAACTCTATTTAAAAAATAACACACACACACTTACCAAATGGTTTCAAAACAAGCATGGCCTGATAGTGTTGCATCTCAGAAAGCAGAACAAATAATTCCAGAACAGTATGATTTTGATGTCCCCACAGTGTCAGAAGTTCATCAGATGGGGAGTTACCTCTTAGAACCTCTCTACGCAGATCCTGAATTGTCATTGTGTCAAACTTCATATATATGCCACCTAAAACAGAATGAATACAATTTTACCTTCTAATGAAATTATGAGAAGAATAAATTAATGAAATTTATGGTTCTCACCATGGTAAATATGGTCTTGCAGAATGTGATATACCGTATACTTTGGCAGATATGCACCACATTCCATATTATCCAAAATGCTTTGTTTTAACTTGTAATGTGTGTTTCCATTTCCCAAAATCCTGTCATATTTCTTTTTGTAAAGTTTCATAAAGAAACTGAAAATTTTATTTTGTAACACATTCTAAAAATTCATTATTGAGGCAAGATGCATGATTAAATACCTGAGAAGGAAAGCATTCGAACCTTCACACATTTTGAAATGTCTCCTTTTCTAACATTCTGTGCTTTGGAGTGATCAGTGTTCTGAAAATGGTATGTCTAGTCCATTGGTTTTATTGTTAAATTATTTCACAATTCTGCACTGAATCCTGATGTGATGTAGTACCTAGATGTAGTTGGATTTATATTTAAATCATACAGGCAGGTTCACACTTAAATTTTTATCATCATCATCATCATCATCATCATCATCAGTAATCTGTCAAGACGACAGGTCCACAGTCTCTTTCAAAACAATTCCTCCACTTAATGCGATCTAGAGCTTTCTCCTTCAAATGACAGTATCCTCTTCTGTCCCCAAGGTCATCCAGCATCTTCTTACGTCTTCTTCCTCGTCTTCTTGTCACTTCTATCCGCCCATCTATCTTTCCTTCGATAGCTTCTTTTAGAAGGCAGTTTCTGCGTAAAACATGACCAATCCAATTAGCCTTCCGTTTTCTTATTTCATGTAGGATATTCCTCTGCTCACTGACTCTAATTAACACTTCTTCATTTCTCACATAATCGGTCCAACTGATCTTCTCCATTCTTCTCCAACACCACATTTCGAAACTTTCCAGATGTTTCTGATCTACTGCCCTAAGTGTCCATGTTTCAGCCCCATACAGAGCTATGCTCCAAATGTAGCATTTCACTAGTTTCTTCCTCAAATTTAAGTCCAATTTGCTGGTAAAAAGATTCTTCTTCTTGCTAAATGCAGCTTTTGCCATGGCAATCCTGGATTTAATTTCACAAGTACACCTTCCATCATCTGTTAACAAGCTACCCAAATATTTAAAACATTTCACATTCTCCACTTGTTTTTGGTCTATCTTTATTGTGACTGGGGTTGGTTGTCTCGAAATTTTCATTACTTTTGTTTTCTCCACATTCATTTCCATGCCATAGCACCTTCCAATTTCAATTAGTCTATCAATCATGCCCTGTAGCACAGTTTCTTCCTTAGCCATTAACACAAGGTCATCTGCATATTTCACAGTTTGAATAATTTGCCCTCCTACTTTGAAGTCACCGAGCCCATCCAGAGCTTCCTTGGTAAGGCATTCGCTGTACAAGTTGAACAGAATTGGTGATAAACAGCATCCTTGTCGAACTCCTCTTCCAATCTGCACACTTCCTGTCTCCCCCCTGTCCAGTCGTACTCTAACTTTCTGATCCATGTACAATTTGCTAATCAATCTTCTTTCATGCCAATCGATACCTGTTTCTTTCAGGATCTGCATTAATTTGGTCCAGTCCCTGAATAAAATGGAGCATTATTTACTACCTGACAATAAATTCTGACATTGGCCAAAGAGAAAGAAACAGAGACACAGGGAGACAGAAAATCTGTCACTGCAAAATTAAAAATCCAATAAAGAAATCTGGAAAAAATACATGACAAAGTAGGCACTAAGCAACATACTCTGCTTCAAATAACCAAATCCTCATTACAACTGTCGCAACAATCAGCAGCTAGTGAAGTGTCTGTGTGCAGAAGGAGAAGTAAATTTGTCCTTGTACTTAACTGCATAGGATACCATGAAGATGTACTAGGGAAATGTAAGTATAGCTTCAAGCATTCACTTCAGCATTACACTTCAATTGGAAGGTCTGTGGAATGCTTGTAAACACTGGGCAGGTAACAAGATGAGATGAAAGCACAGTTCACAGCATACCAACTGTTCTGTATCTAATGTTATTCTCATTACATTCAGTGCAGCCTAGGCCATATTTCTTTACTGGAGACAATCCAGAATGCCCTGACTGAGAATTTTCAGCTGCATTACTTCACAGCAACACATTACAGAACTGGCATCTACTCCGAAGATTACTACTTTCTGGTATGTAGTGTCATGAAGTCTGGTAGATCACTGCCAGTGTTTAGAGGAATATGCTTTGTCAATCTTCAGAATACTCTTCAAACCTGAAGACTGATGTAAAATGTTCCTCCAAAACATCAGCAATGATGTACCAGACTACATGGCAGCACATTCCATAAGACAATAAACTTCACAGTCACTGCCATGGGTACATAAATTCTTATTGTTATGTTGGCAACTCTCTAATGTTAAAATATAATGCTAGAGTTGGCAATGTAGTAGTAAACAATTTTCAATAACAGACTGCGCTACATGCGCTGTTTCTAATTTCTCTACTCTTACATGTTACTACGGTTACGTGTGTAAAAACACAATCTCTCTATTATGTGTTACCATGGTTATGGGTGTGAATATATATAAAACGCCTTTGTGTATCAAAAGGCTAGTCTTAATAAAGCAGGGATAAATTGAACACTGATTCTTACTTATCATTCAATCCACGTAGAAGTGACAATAACACTTATCACACAGCAGCTAATCTTCATGTAGTGATACATTCAAACAACACTGCATCAAAGAGAGGCACAGTGTGAACAATACGTCTTCCCAGCTTCTAAGCCAGTCATAAGTGAACATGCTATTTGCATGCGCTCTGCATTGCAAGTGGAGTACAGACAGAGATGAATGGTCAGCTTCATATCCCAGCCACTTTACTCCCCACAGAAAGAATGAACTGCACCACTGGACAGGATGCTGGGTGGGCCCCAGAGATGGTCTGGGTACAGTGTAGATGGGAACAATCTCTGCCCCTGCTGGGAATAAAACCCTGACTCTCAAGTTGTCCAGCCTGTAGACTGATCACTAAACTGACTGAGCTATCTTGCCTTGCACCAAATATGTAAAATGGCTGGTAAAATATTCTTCACCTGTCATGTAATTCATAGCAAAAACTGGTGAGAAGAGAAGGCACTTGTAGTCACTGCCAATAGGGTTAAAAGAAATGATGATGGTCTGATTGCAGAATAGACTAAAGCGAATGAAATGTTGTCTTTATCAAGTACAAGGTTAATAGTTACATTATGTCTAGACTGTGCAGATGATGCATTGGATAATTAGTTAACAAAATGGTGGGGGAGGTGGGGACAGCCAAGGAAAAATAACACTTAAAGATATCTAAATGATGGTTTCTATTTAATTTCTTTCAAAATTCTGACAACTGCATTCCAACATCCATGGGAGTCAAAGAAGGATGTCACTGTTAATGATTTCAGTTTACTGGGGAAATATACATGCAATGAATTCATATTTTGGTCCTCTGGGTTATGTTACCGTGTTGCATTTTTATGTGGGTAACAACATTATGAAGGCACATACTGCCATTATTTTGAAACCTTAATGATGGAGAAAGTATGTTCCTCAGAAATGTTGGCACCCATCTTCCAGATGCTCTGTATTGCACATGGTGTCATAACCTGTAAGACCACAATATGATGCATCACCAAGAACTTCTAAAATCTTATGCATGAAACAAAGGCTCTCATTATGTAATTTCCATTAGTTCTCAGTTACTTCATGTTTTCAGCACAAACACTGTTTCTCAGCTCATATTAATAATCAGGATTTTCCCTCGGGGAATGAGACTGCATCTCACAACTGCATTAAATGTTTTATGCACTACAAATTTTTGTAGTGTTCAGGAAAGCAGATATATTGTGTTCCTTATCAGGAAAATTTTACAATACAGTAGCAACACACTTGAGCCTCTTTACTGTACACCCAGTTCTTGCAGAATTTAAAACTGTCTTTCATCTATACCTACTAAACCCAAGACAAACATAACATAGACCAACGTAGTTGTTTTCATGCTAACTTGGCAAATTAGTTAAGTCACTCAACAGTCACACCCTTCTTGGACTCCCTTAGAAGGTGAAACAAAATCATCAAAATTTTTAACGAGAAACTAAGCAGAAATCAACATCTTAATTTTCTGTATTCTTTCAACTTTATCTTCCACTTTTTCACCTTAATGATTTGCTGACTACTAAAAATATCAATGTATGAAGACTTGCTTCTTCTATTCCATACTCCATATTAACATACTTTATTTCTTAATCTTGTTGGTTATGACTGCAAGAACAAGAATTTTTAGTTTTCAGTCATGACTATATACATCTGGCCAGAAACTAATGAGACCATTAATAATAATAAAAACAACAACAACAATAAAGCTGTCCCTGTGCTTAAGTAATCAAACACTATGCCATGAAGGTTCATGGGGAACTGGATGTACAGAACCCCATTTTCTCTAATTAGACAATTACCATACAAAAAGAATAAAGTAATCCGAGATGGCAAACAAGTGGCATAAATGAAATGAACAGACAAAATACAATACTTCTATGGTAAATTTAATTCACTTCAACTTAAGTAATTATAATCTAAGAGGAATTACGATTTGTTGGACATATATAAAATGTGTTCGTATGGAATCAACGAGTATTTGTTTCAACTTCGCTAGTTTAACATGAACCACCTGTCAGAAAAATAATGTGGGCGCAAAATATATGCATGTAAGACGCCACCAAATGGAAAATATTTGCCTATTTACTTACTCGATTATTAAACTATTACAGTTCTAAATACAAATTACACTTGGTTTAATTCCTTTCCACAATTCCGAGGTTTAAAATACAATTCTTGAAATAAGATGTGACTGTGTTGGAACAGGCTGTTTTGAAAACAAATTGTTATTTAAACGTAATACGATCCAGTTGAAAATGCTTCTGAATGTTCTCTGACACGAGCATCAAATTTAAATCTGATATTTTCTTTCGAATGACTACTGGATTTCTAAATTTATTCACCTTCACACCTTCCCATGCAACAGGTACAAAGAGAACAGCACAAGGTCTCTTACCAAGTTCCTCCCACTTATCCATTCGGTCTAATATTCGACACAGCTCTCTGCGCTCAAAATATGGTAAATGGTACACATATCTAACATTACGTTTGTTGTTATTTGCCATAATGACAAACGCCAAATACACTCTTTGCCCATCAAATCACGACGTTTTTTAGCGACACCACTATCCTCAAACGTTCCTTTTCCTACAGCTAACCGTTGGAACCAATCGGAACTTCCGCACACGGCCAGCCTACCATTTGTCCTGAGTTGATCGTAAGCATTATCGAACGACTTTCGAACGCTCACTCGATAGCTAGATGGAACTATCGAATGTATCTGTCGCCAGTTTTAATTCGGATTTTTATCGGACATTCAAATTACGGTATGTAACTGAAACGAAGAGCCCAGTCTAATAAGTAATCTCTATCTGGCCGCACCATAGCTGAAGCGGTTAGTCACTGGCTTCCCACCGCGGCGGCCCGGGTTCGATCGCGGGTCTGTCAAGTGGGATTTGTGGTGGACAAAGTGGCGCTGGGGCAGGTTTTCTCCGAGTATTTTAGTTTCCCTTGCCAATCTTCATTCCACCAATTGCTCCACAATCATCCTCACATATCATCTGGGGCTAGTACAATAGGCCAAAAGTGGCTGCAGTACAAGGGACTTAGTCCCACTCCACTAGCAATATAAAAAAATAATAATCTCTATCTGAATTTATTTATTTATATTGCATTCGTCAGATAATGGACAAAATGGGAGTATAATGAGACAGTACATTAGCTATTCTTATAGGGACCTGTTTCATGAAAACCCATAATTCAGTTTGGAGGGAAGTTTTGCTCAATTTTTATTGTGTCTGGTATAGTCACGAAACTAGTTACGGGTGTTAAATAAATCGTATAATAAAGTTCGTGTAGGTAAACATTTATTTGACACGTTTTATATTCAAAATGACCTGAAACAAAAAGCTTCAATGTCATTGCTTTTCAAGTTTGCTTCAGAACACGCCATTAGGAAGGTCAAAGAAAACCAGGTGGGACTGAAATTGAATAGGACACTTAAACTCCTGGTCTATGCTGATGATGTAAATCTATTTTGGAATAACATAAATATCAAGAAGAAAAACACAGAAACTGTAATAGACCCTAGTAAGAGGCTATTACAGAAGTAAACTCAGATAAAATTAGGTATATGTTGTATGCTGTTGTCACCAGAATGCTGTTACAAATAAAACACAAAGATAGTTAATAGATTCTGTGAGAATGTGGCAAAGTTAAAATATTTGAGAAAGACAGTAAAAAATAAAAATTTTATTCACGTTAAATTAAGAGCAGATTAAATTCGGACAATATTTTTATTGGGCAGATCCTTTTGTCTTCTCGTCTGCTGCTGTCTAAAAATGTAAAGATTAAAATACACAAAACCATAGTTTTGCTTGCAATTTTGTGTGGATGTGAAACTTAGCCTGTTACACTGCGGGTGGAACATGGACAAAGGGTGTTTGAGATTAGGGTATTGAGGAAAGTATTTGCATTCAGAAGAGTTGGGGAAACTGCATAATGAGTAGCTCCATAGCTTGCACGCTTTCTCCAAATACTCGTACAAGAGGGAGAGTCAGTAATTACGTCACAAATGGAAGTAAACTCGCTGTAATGGATGTATGTGTATCACTAGGTAACAGCACAGTCTAGCTTCATGAGAGTCTAAGTAGGAGACGAGCATGCTTATGTTCAGAGGCTGGTTTCAGTAGTCAAAATGGAGACCGTGCTTGAGTGTACTACTTAAGAGCAGCGAATAGAAAGTGTTTTACGTTTTGTATCAATTTGTAACCTATTTGCTGACTTCCCCCGTAATTAGAATGATGATTACCAGAAGGATGGAACGGGCAGATTATGCAGGATGTATGGGAGAAAAGAGGAATGCATAGAGGTTTATGCTGAAAGTACCTTACGGAAAGAGATCACCGGGAAGTTCTAGAATGAGATCGGAGGATAATATTAAAAATGAATATCAGAGAAATAGGATAGCAAGTAAGGAATGGATCCATCTATCTCAGGACAGAGGCTAGTGGCAGGCTGTTGTGAACACGATAATGAACCTTTGGATTCCATAAAATATTGGAAATTTCTTGTGTGGCTGTGCGACTGGCAGCTTTTCAAGAAAGACTGCTCCGTGAAGTTAGTATTTTTATTACTACTTGGTAAGAACATGCACTCTTACGTTTGAAGTTGCCTGGGTTTAGAGAAGTCTATTTTCGTCGCTACTTTGTTGCCAAAAACACCGATTAGCATCTTTCCACATTTCAGCTTAATGAAGTTGAATGTCCTCTTATTAGTAATAATGATGTATGGCCTAACTGATTCCTTATTGCACCTCATTACTGCAATCTTACTTCTTAGGTGGCTCATACACGTACGAGTCTGGCTCGCGAGTCCGGCTCGGCTTGAAGCCGGGCTCAGATTAATTTCACCACACACGTATGAGCGTGGCGACCCACACACGGACGAGTTTGGCTCATTGGAACCCGAGTCGAGTTGGATTCGCGAGCCAGACTCGTACGTGTATGGGGCCCCTTACTATGTGCACTCCATCATTCCACCTGCCGAACCAATCTGGGCGTAAACAGCCAGGATCGGTGTGACAGCACAGACGAACCAAGGGGCCACCTGGGGCAGCATATTTTATGAAACCTTTTATCTTTTGCCTTTTCAAAATGAAAAGTAATTTCCATGGATCGTCTTCTCATGCGATGACCATTAACTGACAATATCGAAATGTGTTACTTAACAATGTGAATAATCCTGTATATCAGAAGCACAAGCGCTGCTGTCAATAAAATATTTTATGGGACAGCCAAAACTCTGAAATGAGCTCAATATCAACTTTTAATGGAAAGATTTCGAATACGTCGGCACTAGCAGAAGTTTTCCAACAGAGTGTTACAAGGAGAAGCTTTTTTTTTAACTTCTTCAGAAAAAGGCTTGAAACTTACACGAGAGGAAAGGGGGGGAGTATTCTAATTAATACCTCTTTACTTCTTAGTCATTTCTGGAGGAATCAACAAGCCGCAGTGGTCATTGGTTCATAGCTTAAGGTACAGTCTATGACAACATTCTGAACTAGCATAAAGCTTTCATTTTGGGGAAGACGCAAAGGGGAATATTTGTATATCTTAATCTCGTACTTCACACCAAAGCCGCTTATGGGAAAGTCATAAACTCTGTTTTTTCTGTCTCCTAGGTCGTCGTTAGTTGTGAAGCTCTGTTGAAACATCACCCAGATAAAAATCAAGGGAGGCCAAAAATTTGTACAGTGTGAGAAAATGAAATGTGTTATGAGTACCAACTTCCCCATATTAAAACAAGACTTTCAGGATGCAACCATATAACATTAATTACCCTTTTACGGTTACTGATATTACCGACAGCGGGTAACGGTTACAGGAAACCACTAGTTCTACATGATAACATACGTTCTGCAAACGACCTGAGCTATTTAACAATGAAATACACGATACTTATGAAAAGCATTACTATTGTCTTTTAGAGTAAATAGAGATGTACAAGTATATAGTGTGACATGTTGCGCAAAGGAGAACCCCCCCCCCCACCAGCAGTGACGCGGCGGGTGAGTCAGCGCTCCCCTCCCCCTCCTCCGCACGGTAACGTAACGAGGCTTGCGAGAGACGACGGTAGTAACAGCGGTTACTACCGCTAGCGTTGCTAGCAACACAGCGCCAGGCAACAAGGGTGCTTATTACGTGGCCGTTTTCTGTATTGTCCGATCGAGGCTACATAAGGAGTAGCGAAGGCTATTCACAGTTAGTCCTGGAGCTACCGCCGAGTGAGTCCTCGAGCTACCTCCGAGTTAGTTCCGAGTTAGCCAGCAACCAGTCAGTTGTCTTGTGGCATTTGGAGTGTACTATTTGTGATACTGCAGATAGCAGTAATCGTAAATCTGTAATTTGGGTGATTGTAAGTGCGAATGTGAAATAAAATTCGCTATACCAAATACGGGTGAAGTTATTTGTCGCGTTATACGCCCGACATTTAGTTCGTATTACCATCAATATCTGGTGTCTTGGAGGCAACCTTTCAGGTCTGTGTTTCGACTGAGGCTTACTATGCTTCTGCTTGATGTCTAAATGCAGTTTTCAGAACAGAATCTGAAACCCACGAATGATTCCAAGACCTAACATTTTAAAATGCATTTTCCCCTTGTGCATTATTTGACATTAAATGATCTTCTCCGATCACAGTGGTCGTGCTGTCTAAGGAATGGACCGTCTTCGCCCCCTCGAACACTAGAATCATGGATGTCTGCGTGCGTTTATTCTGTGTTTGCGTTGTGTATAGGCAGCGGCCTTGCGACAGGCTGATCTCCATCCAAGGAATCCTATCGACTGTGTATAGATTAAGAAACTGAAAAAGTGGCCAAGGCCCGCAAGGCCTGCAGAACCATAGATACGAGATAGATAGAAAAGATCTCTACTGAACATTACTATTTAAGTGTTGCCTCTGCTGCTTCGCATTCGGGAGGCGCCCACTTCTAATCTCAGCCAAGAGACCGACTGTTCTTTTTCAGGTTACTTTTATTGGTTTCCGCAGGACGTTCTGGCAAATATCAGGAAAGTAACTTTAAACAGGTCACGTTCCACACNCCCCCCCAATCCAATGCTATTCACCATTCATGATTATCCATTTCATTAGACTCCATATAGCTTCTGTTGCTGAATCATCGCGGTTAAATAATATACTAATCAATCAGTGACTGAGTCTTGCTTTACTAACGACGCTTTCCAACGTCATTCATTGTACAGTGTTGAATGATAGGATAATTCTACTAATATAGTAGGATGAGAAAGGAAGCAGAAGTTGCCCAATTTAAGGATTCTTTCCAAATCTGCTTTACGGCGTAGAAGCAAGCCATGAAAATCCTTCAGGCCGAAGAATGCTAACCTCTACACAGCCGTATACGAGTATAGTGATCAGTCAGTGAACAAGCCGATGGAGTATCTCTCTTGTGAAATTTACAATGTCTACTGATGTTATTGTGATTTGTGCTCAGGGACAGAACGTATCACCCGCATCAATCAGTGGAGCACGTGACTCACACAGCTCGAGCAATCAATCTAGTTGCTTCTCCCCACCAGATTGCTGGCTAGGAACACACAGCCCTCCATGTCGTCACTAGCTTCTGATAACCTCTCATGTAACTACATGAACTTTAACCTACAGCAGCCATCAGAAGTTTGGAAGAGACAATTCTTAGCGTGATTAGCTGACTGGACCTGAATGCAACTGAAAATTTCAACAGATATTACAGTATGTTAGGCTTGTTGCCACATGAGTGAAGATATGTTGTGTACTTGACCATGTTCGATGTGTTCATGTTAACGGTACATGCATGTTTGTAATGCCAGCTAGGTGATTTCAGGCTTCCTGAAAGAAGTGAACATAACAACGTGACGTTGATCCTTTGGTGTGTGTATTGTGATAATTAAAAGCATAAATCAACATGAATGCGATTGTGTATATTCTGTGTTGTCTGTTAATTGTTGCAGGAGGTGATACTGGTAAGTTAATGAAATGTTTTATAAATTATTTTCTGTCGGTAATAATTTTAACAACCCATGTCTAGAATATTACACACAGCGTGCCATAACTTAGGCTATTATTGCCGGCTTCTCGCGGCAGAGTCCTGGATTTATTCCTAGGGCGGGTATGCGTGGTTTGTAATGGACAACGCGGAACTGCAGCGAGTTCTCTGAGAACTTCAATTGAGGCCACAATACAAATAGTTTTACCTGCTTTCTAAAATAATAATAATATAAGTTAATAGAGAACGGTCCATTGAAATCAATGGTCAACTGAAAATATTAATGCAGAAATCCTGTTTGTTTCTCTTTCCAGAGAAAGTTATCCCTCATTAAACAAATACAAATGCGACCTCAAATGGAATTGTTTAGACGAAATAATAAAGCTTAGAGGTTTGTTATAACAAAGGGCAATGTGATCCATGAGACTGAGATTAGCTCTATCTAAGGGACCCAACTGAGTAGGTCACTTCCTTTCTCACCTGAAGACGGAAACAGATCTAGTTTCCGAAACGTCGTGTCCTCTATTAGCTAAAATTCCGGACGATGGAACAAGTCTCAAACCCCAGTAATTCTGTGTGTCATCCACCATGGTCAGAACCCTTTAGAATCTACATAAATATTTATGTTATAACATCGTTGCTACTCAAAATAGATCTATGGGCATTGCGTAACTAATTAAGAATTTCAAGAAAGATGGCTTCTGTAATTGATGCTATCCATTGTATTGACAAAACAATTTTATGCGCCTGGAGTAATGATCAGAAGACGAGGAAGAAGACGTAAGAAGATGCTGGATGACTTTAGGGACAGAAGAGGATATTTTTATTTTAAGGAGAAAGCTCTAGATCGTATTAAGTGGGGGAACTGTTTTGGAAGAGACTGGGGACCTGTCGTCTTGACAGATTACTGATGAATGACTGGAGTAATGATGTCGACAATACCAGTGAAGAAATTCTTAGCATTCTTGAAGAATAAATTAAATTAAATGCAGACCCTATTTTGCGAGTATATAGGTCTTTGGCGAAGGTACACTTCTTAATGAAATTTCAAGTAATATCTAGTATATTTCTGTTTATTTCCTAAAGGGTCTACTAACGAGGCGACTAATTTTATGGGGCGTGTACGTACACCACAAAGATAAATATTTTGTTCTTAAGACGCTTGAAAATAACAGGAGGAGCATATGGATAGAGCATATTCAAACACTTCTTGCTGTTATTCGGTGAGGTGTGAAAGAAAGCAGTTCTATATGTATTTTTCCATCGTACTACTTGCATAGGACTATGAAATGTCAATTTGTCTATTCTATTTTGTTATCAGGTTACAATTCTTGGTACCGTTTACTTAAATGATCTATATGAACATTTACAGGCGTGTTTTGAATAGGAAAGAAAGCTTCGAAATCCCCATACACCATGTCACATTCCAGGACAGACAGCTGCTGACTACAATTCTCACATCCACATAAAAGTAGGGCAAAGTCATCATATTTCGGATAGAGCGCTTTTTTTTTTTTTTTTTCAGAAAATAGGGGCAGCGGCGGGGTGGTAGCCACTGAACTTTACACCTCCTCATACCTGACCAATTTCTGAGCAATGGTAGATCTGACGTTGAAGCAGCTGTGTTGCTTTACCGTCAGTGTGTATATTTCTGCCAATTCCGACGTAATGTTTTCGCTTACAGAGCTAAGGTTTCGAAATCATACGTGAATTTTATATTGGACAATTATAAAATTATAAAAGACAGAATTCACAACGTTAGCCGAATAATCCCTCATGTCTTTCATTTTACCATTCATATTGTGTTTTCCTTCAATAGCCTTTTAAAACTTTTTAAATTTCCCTCAATCATTTAAATAGTTGTTGAACATTTTGGGGTTATTTTACGACGCTCTATCAATTGCTGAGTTTCCATGCTGCTGAGAGTGCTGTGTATGATGATTATGAATAATGATTATAACGATATATCATGTTAATTTTGTTGCTTTAATTTAGTTTAAAATAAGATTCAACTTGTTTCCTTAAAATTTTTATTTTAGTATATAACGATTTTTTATGCTGTACCTTTGTTTTTTATGATACTTGACGTCATAAAAATTCGGGGAATGCTCTAGCGGATGTTTAGTTCTTTGAAGGTTTCTTGAAGTTGGAGCAATCGCCAGACTGAGACAGGCTCCGCTCCTGTTGAACCATGTCCATTGTAACTACGACAATGAGCAAAGTCCAAAATAACAGTTTTAAGCCATATATCTTTTATCAATGAATGAAATGAATTTTGTTGAATCAAGAATTGTCATGTGTTACGAAACGGTCTGCTGGTAGAAATTAGGAGGTCCAGATTACATACACGTACATCAGATGACATAAATTTAGAATTTTAATTATGAACAGCGGTGTCCTTGAGAGTTTACTTTTGAGAGCCTGGTATGATTCTGAAGTGCTTCCCATTATTTCTAACTATTGTAGTGCCATATTTTCAAATTCATGTGTTTACCTGCAGGCTGGCTCCTCTCATTTGTCATGTTCTCGCCACAAATCTGAACACACGTATTCTGTTTCTTCAATTTTTATGCATAATAAATATCCACGCTTTTACTCGAGCACTGCAGGGAAAGGGTTGATATAATATAGAAGTAATAGGAGTATACTTGACTAATTAATTACATGTATTAATTACGTATAAACAATATTTCAGCAATGTGCTCGAATGTAATGCACATTTTTTCAAACGTGCTCTATGTAAATCTATATATCTCATTCAAATTAATATTATTTATTACTTACAAAGCCGGTCAAGGTAGCCGAGTGGTCTAAGGCATGTACTGTCTTCGCTAGCTCGGAACCCGGGATCGTGGGTTAGATTCCCACTTAAGGCATGGATGTTTAGTGTGTGTGTGCGTTTATTCTCTGATTGTGCTGCCTTTTGTTTAGATAGAGGCCTTGTGACGAGCTGACCACCCGTCCGACGAGCCCTACTGTCTATAAAATTATTATGAAACTGAGAAATCTGCTCTGTGCTCCACAGTTGGAGCGAGAGGAGGAAGAAGAAATTACAAACAAAAATTTCGTTGCAATTTTTATGACACTGCATGCAGCAGAAATGTTTTTCCTATGTTTATTTAAATAATCGCAGAGTCGAAGAATATCTGAAATGAGAATTGTTGACCTTTATGAGGTCAAATCTTCGTTTCAAATTGCTACTCCAAGAAATCCTTTGTACCATGAGTCTTTTCCGAATAATGAACTAACGTTAAATCTGATCTTCGTTTAGGGCATGAAACCATAATTAACACTGCATTGTAAAATAAAATTGTAATCCAAATTCTTCTGCAATTTTCTGAGGTGAAACGTGAGAACAGAAAACGGCCATTTTCATAAAATTAGATATTACCCATTGTTCGTTCCGTTATAAGAATTTTGTCAATAAAACGGTACTACATTTTGATTCATCTGATTTCAGTTTCCTCCACAAGCGAAGATATCAGTGAGGAAGTGGCAGCTCTGAGTAATGTGACTATCTTCGGTGAGCAGAAGCTGAGCGATCAGGTGCGAATGATCCTGGACCACTACAAGCAGGAAGATCCTGTGGGACTCCCCGGCGCGCCAGTCTCGGATCCCATGCCAATTCCGGATATGAAACATTCCTTCACATATGCAACAATGCATTTCAAGTCAGCTCATGTGCACGGTCTTAGCCGCTTTAGAATCCAGCACATAAAGTCCGACCTGGCAGCCTTGAAGGTCGGTAATTTGTTGAGTGTCCTGTTTGTATCTTAGAGGAAAACTGTCACAAATCACAATCATGTAAGACTGCAGTACACAGATGGAAATGCAATTATTATATATTTATGAAATTGCGGCCGATATTAAATTAAGCACGCAGTCCTGCAGTAAGAGGGTTTTAATACATCGAAATTACGAGTAATTTCCTCATACCGGGTAATCGTTGATCTAACAGTTATTCAAAGAAATGTGCCGTTTTCTGTGTGTTCCACGACATCAACCATTAATCTCTTAATTTAAAATAAGCATTAATATCCACAAAAGTAAAGATAATCCAGTTTGTCCGCAGCCGTGTCTTTCCACAATTACGTTATTTGATGCATCCTTTGTACGTGTTACACAAGATGGGTTTATAATGGGGATGCGGTACTTGTCCGACCACATGTTTCTCTCCAAATATCAATGTATCTATCTGTCTGTCTGTCTATCAATCTATCTTACTATCTGTCTATCTATGGCTCTACAGCCCTTTGTTGGACCTTGGCCACTTTGTCAGTTTCTTGATTTTTTACAGTCCGTAGGACTCCTTGGACTGGGGATCAGCCCGTCACGAGGCCGTTACTTGCACACTGAACAACACAAACACAGAATAAACGCACACAGACATACATGTCTTGCGTGGGATTCGAACCCATGACTCCAGTATTCAAGCAGGCGAACACAGTTTATGCCTTAGACCGCGCGGCCTCTGAGATCGGTTCTCTCCGAGACTACCTGGAAGTATTTAGGTTCATATCAGCTGAAGGTAACCCGTACTTGACTTGAATCATAGGTCAAACTTTATCAAGTATATTAGAAAAAGAAGCCCCTCGTACAAATAATTTTATGGGTACACGGCATTAAGTGTACGTCTCCTTATGAATCAATGCCTTTGTAAGGATAATAGGCCTATTAAAAGACGGTTACTGGAATACAGAAAAACGGAAACTACCCATCACAACGTGCACACTGTTGAAGACTGCTCTTCTTCTAGCGTGCAGGAACAGGAATCGTCCAGTAGTTTAATAGTTTAATTTTAATGCATTACTACAGTGCGTTCAGTTAAGGAGGAAAATTCGCAACACCGCTGATCCGGCCCAACATTTCTCACAGATTGCTGCTGTAACTGCCGATAACAGAATGAGGCATTGCGCTGATAAACGCGCGCCGTCGGGTGGCGTGGTCTTATCACTGCAGTTGGGTTGCACCAATAGTCAGTCTGTGTCAGAGATGTCGATAGGCCGTCGACATGTGTACTGAAATGAAGTTCACTATTGAACAGCGTGTTTATTGTCGAAAATTTTCAAGGAAAAAAACTTACAGAAAATGTATCCCTAAGTTTCGTCGTAAATATTATGATTCGCCAGTTCCCACAAAGTCGTATGTATTGAAGCTTGTGAAAAAGTGGCGGGCCACAGGTTCAGTGTGTGACATAAAGAAGCAATTGAAGAGTATTGTGCTGACTGAAGAAAAAATTCGGGATATTGAGGCATGACTACAGATCAGTCTTCGAAAATCGGTAAGACGCTTAGCACAGGAAACCGGCGTTTCGCTAGGATTTGCGATTTTTATCTTTGGGGAAACCTAAGGGGGAAAGTCTACAAGAATGATGCTCGCACCACTGAAGCTCTGCAGAATAAACAACACGAGAAACTGGTTCAATTGCGGTGGACCAACTTCAGAAGGTGTCGCATAATAATAATTATATGATGCAAGGCATGCTCACAAGCATAAGGGGATCACTTTCAGCACCTGTTATAAAGCAGATAAGTTTGTGTTATAATTTTACAGTATTCGTATAAATGTGTGCATGTACAGAAACTGCCGTGAGGGAATAGTCGCGGAGAAACATCCCATCCACTCTACGCTAGCGAGAGTGGGCGCGTTTATAAGCGCTAATGACTTATTCAGCCATCGGCAGGTACAGCAGCAATCTGTGAGGAATGTTCGCGAAGTTTCCTCCTTAACTGAACGTACTGTATATTCGCAGAAATTCCGCCATTAAATCCTGTCCTAAGCCAGACGGATCAGAGTTGAATGGGCCCGATGAAAGTACACTTTAATTTTAGGTACTCCCATATACGCCTTCTCGTCAGAAATGACTTTTCCTTCCGCTTTTTCAGTTAAACGATTGTGCCTCTACCTCTTGTTTGTATTTTCTTTGATACAGCTGTTGCAGTATCAGACAATATACTCGTAGCAGCAAATGATAAGATTATATTTGAGTAATGGAAGCAGTCGGCATGTACTGTCTTCGCTCGCTTGGAAACCGGGATCGTGGGTTCGAATCCCACTCAGGGCATGGATGTTTAGTTTGTGTGTATGCGTCTTTCTGTGTTTGTGTACAGGTAGAGGCCTTGCGACGATCTGATCACCCGCCCAAGGAGTCCTACCGAATGTGTAAGATCTAGAAAAACCGAAGTGAACGGAGTTCATGGAGGTAGGCCTAGGCCCACTGGGGCTGTAGTGCCAAGGGAAAAAATGGAAGCAGTCCTGGCAGGTTCACTCTCCCACTATTAACCTGGAAGTCCCGAGGAAAATCTCGAGAATCTCAATCAGGATATTCGGCTTTAGGCCAAGATTTGAACTCTTGACCTCCAAAATAAGAAGCAGGAGCGTTCACCACTCGATCATCATGTTGTATGTATGCGTATCAGGTCTCCATCATGCATGCTACAGGTTCTACCCATATTATCCTCCTTGTTTTGCTCATCCTAAAAATATTTAGTGAAGAGTACAAATATCACTATAGAAATCTATCATTTCGTTGACGATAGCAGGACAGAATTTACTCAAATATGTCTTATTAAATTCACGGAGATATGAATTTGAGCAGTCGTGTGGATATATTTCCGTCATCTTACCTATATAGGTCTATTAAGTGTCCACTTAAGTTATTTTGTTTTTGGATTTTACCTAACTGCATGATTTTACTGAAGTGGTCTGTATGAACACTTTCTACATGCATCTTCTGAAGGGGAAAGAAACGTTCCAAATGAACATAAACTAGGCTACATTTTGTGGTGAATTCTGACTACAAGATGCATATGTAGATCAAGATATTATCAGTGTTCACAAAATAGACACGGCACAGTGAAGTAAAAGACTTCTCACTCTTTCTTGAACTAGTACATAATTTACGTCCATGAAACGCGTTAATTTTCAATAATCCATTGTTGTTTTAGCCTCAAATTCAGTAATATCAAAGCTGTCATTTACCGTAAGATTTGTGTGCATAAAGTAGGATTAAAATTTTACTTGTTGTATTGCATGGGTGTGAATATCTCATAATGAAGAGCTTTATAAATTGTACTCTTCATTAAGTGCTATTAGAATGATCACATCGTGAAGAATACAATGAGCGAGGCATGCAATACGCGCGTGATGGGCAGAGAAATAAAAAATAAAAGGCTTATTCGGAAACCTTGAAGGGAATACACAGTTTTCGAGAAAAGTCAAAATAAATAATAGAGTATTGGGACTGGGAGACGTTGAAATGATTCATCTGGCTGAGGACAGGCTCTGTGAACACGGTACTGAACTTTGACTTCCATCGATAGTGCGAAATAGCTTAGCGACTATTAGCTTCTCAAGAAGGGCTCTTTTCTATAGAGTTAGTTCAGTTACTTAATTTGTTTTTGAAGAATATAACTCCTACTTTAGAGGAAATGAACTCTAGCAACATGAGCCTATAGTTAGCCAATGAAAGGAAAGAATGCTATTGGATTTGTAAAATGGCCTGACTTAAGAGTATTTTCGAAATATAGTTCAATAGACCCCATCTAATAAAAATAAATAAAAAAATATATCCCTACACTATCAATTTCAGCTTTCATATCTGCCATAAGATATTATCTGACTTTCAAGAAATGGAGAGGAGTGGCTGTAGTGAGAAACGCGAAGTGTTTCAGACCTGCAGTCCTGAGCAGAGTGGTGCAAATTAATTGGATCATTTGTTATTTCCAGGTGTCGGTGGGTTTGCGCATAGAGAAGCTGGAGGTACTGGGGAACTACACGATGTCTTCGTGGTTCAGTCGCTCCAGCGGTCCCTTCAATGTCACTTTGTCCGACGTGTACATCGAAGGTTTAGCCAAGATGGAAGTTGAACGCGGCGGCCAGCTTCAAGCACAGAACATCGACATGGACATAGCATTCCGGGATATAGCAATGAATTTCGAGAACCTCGGCTTCCTGGGAAACCTCTTCCAGGTCTGTGCAACCATTACAAGGTCTGCAAATATTAAACCTTTTTAGATCGTTTTCCTGTAGGTTGAAACTGCATGTAGTTTTGTAGACTGATACTGACGTTTCGGAGGAACATCTTCAGGGCTGAAATGTGTAAGATGAGGAGATAGTTAGTATACATATTACGGTTGCAGGAAGGTAATCACTGCCTAATTATACACACGTCAAACTTTAAGCCAAAATTATCTCAGTGCCGCCAACAAAATCACACAGTGTCAAATCCCAGAAGACCACAATCGGAAAAATCACCGCCGTGAAAATCTCACAATTTTAACCTTGTTATTTAAAAACGCTGACATTGTTTCATCGAAATGTGTTAAATGCCAGCGAAAGACTGTAATTTTTCCCCCATTTTACTGCACTTTTCGCTTTAGGTAATTTTCATCAGCACTTCTTCGTTTAAAAAACACAGGTATTGTAAATTATGGTTAGTCCATTAATTTTAGATGTTTTTATACAATATATATTTTCCTCTAATAAGTGTTAATAAGAGAAGAGAAATTTTTATTTGGTTGTTCAAATATTGTAAAAATCTGCATGTGTCTTTCTATTTTAATGCCGGGTTGCAGTATATTTTTCTTCGTGTCTCGATTCGAATCTCGCTCGGCCGTCTGATATTCTACTGAATTATTTGGTAATTTTACTCGACCACTCAAGAAAATGCATAGGTAATACCTCGATCAGGCCACGAACACTTCCTTTGAAATCACCTTTCCTCCGTCATTTGTCCATCGGACGCTATAGGCTATAATCAAGCCACTGACAGCGTCATCAAACAACACTAAAAATAAAACAAATTAATTCTTATGTCAAACTGCAGGATACCTTGAAGTTACGAAAAAGACATCGCAAGGATAACAGGATAACAATGGACAAACAAACGTGTTCTGAGCAGCATTTGACATCCATCTGTTGCCAGTTCTTCTTACGCGGGATTCTATTTTTGCCACAATATTTTACACGCTGTTTCGTCTATCTTTTTTGTGTCTGCGATATGAGGTTTGCTTACCTATGCATAAATAAAAATAAGGCGCACAATATTTTTATAAGAAGGAAAGTGCAGAAATTAAAGGGCATTTTTGTTTGCATGAAAAATGATGTGAGTAGCACTTCAAAAGCGGCCGATGTTTGCAATAGAAATCCTGCTTTATTTGCGTTGTATCCGTCCGCAGACGTACAGCTGCCGCGACTTGCGCTCGAGCTTGAGTTCTTTCTCTCAGGGATACGGGTGCTTCGGAGATGGGAGTGGACCACACTTCGGGGTTAATAATTCAGGCATCTCCAGAATACACCGTGTGTTGAAGTACTAATTTCAAGTTTCATTCAATGATCAATATTTACATTGTCCTCCAAACTCGCAGCTCCGTCCATCCTACTCGCTACTCCTACTGTCAAACACTTCTCTGTTTTCTGTCTACATTTCAACTCTTGTCCTCCTCCGCTCCCTATAGCCCACTGCCCTCTCTTTACCAGTCCCCCCAGTGGGCGTAAAAAACAGGAAAATGAAAAGAGAAAGGCAAGGGTCGAGCCTGGCATCTGTCCTACATTCGTATTTTACGAGATGCCCATAAACTTTCTTGGGTCTTCAAGGCACACGAGCAGGAACCCAAGACCCCTCCTGGCCGGTCTCGCACAAGGTCAGTTCATGGGTTTATGACACTAGGAGCAAACAGGCGACTTTAGGGACAACAGTGGCACCCTTAGCCTAAGGAGGACAATAGCTGAATTACAACAAGACGGTCCCGGGATGGTATCTCGCCGCAGGAGCGTCTCTCATGGTGTTAAACAATGCATAAGTTGTTCATACCCTTAATTAAATAATTTTTGCGAGGGACGTACGGTTACAGCGTTCACTTGATTTTCATTGTCTTTTGAATTCATAGTGACATTTCTGTGAGACATCGAACATCGCTGCATCCCCAAAATCAGAGAGATGTAATTACAGGATGTGAAAAGTTGGTTATTTACAGAAGGACGACAGTTCAATATGGCGACAACTGTAAGAGGAAGGTAGATTTTATTAATATGAGGAACGATCTAAAGGAGAGCGAACGAATGAAAGTTAAATCGAATAAATAACTTTATAATATACGTTATGTGCCATATAATATAGATTACATTATTTTTACATCAAAGGACTTCTGTATGAAGTAAACAGTTTGAAATGTTTCGTAGGTTACTTTATGTTATTTTCTTACATATGTGCGAATGTAGTGCGCAGCCGAATTTTCGGGAAGTACCCAATATAATCTCACAACCACTGTAAATTAAAGAGTTTCTCTTCTGCAGGGAATCATCAACTCCGTGGGGACCTTCCTGTTCGACAGCATAAAGCCCTTCATCTTGAGAGAGGTGAACACCAACATTCGTGGCGACGTGAACAAGCACATCCGGGCACTGCCACAGCGGTTCCCCAATTCCATCTCCCCATTCGACATGGCCCTCGCAGAGGGACGCCGTTACGTGCGTGAGATGGGTTACGACCCGCATCTCTTCCCAGATTACAATTACACTGTTGGGATATTCCGTATTGACCTTACCAATTCATGGGCCTCAGGCATATCTTCCTTCTACAGAGTCGGCAATGTGACTGTGACAATGGAAGACAATGTCCTGTACTTGGGAGTCCATGTGGGAACGCAGAGGCTGGAAGGCAAGACCCTCTGGGAACTCAACGTAGGAGGATTATTGAGCCGCGCAGGATCCTCCAGCTTCACGGTCGAGTATATCCATACCGAGATAGAAATAAGCCAGCCTCTGGACACAAGGAAGAGACCCGTACTCAGAGATCTGGATATTAAAGTTGGCAATATTCAGGTTCGTATGGACGGCGCGGGAACTCTGGATTACGTAATTGAATTCGTCGTAAATGTTTTACCTAACCTCTTGCGCTACCAGATAGTGAATGCTATAGAAGGGCCATTGAAGACAAGATTGCAGGATATTATGGACTCGATTGATGTGGAGGAGGTGCTGGAAGAGAAACTCCCTCAGTTGGACAAACTGAAGCTCTAAGATGTAGGGCTTCTGCAAAAGAGCTTTGTCTCAACTAGTTGGTGCAAATATATGTTGGAAATTTACGGATTTGAGTTTCTGTGATATATGATATACATATTATATAAAAGGAGTTGTAACCGATTTACTTTAACAAATTCTCAGCTGTCGGAAGTTTGTAACTATGATTAAGTGCTCTCTCTCCTAAAGTAACTTGTAACAATATTGTTCCATAAATTCATGCTTTGTGATGAACTGAACCCCGAGCTGAGAAGTCCTACCGTCTATCAAAAGAGAACTTGGAATGTTTTTAAAAGACTGAGGAGACCAAATATCGAATCGAGCAACTAGACCAAGAACTTTCCAATTCTCATTGCCAGTAGATAATTTGGCTGTCGTTGGACCGTCGTAGTTGATCAATTTCTGTGTTCCTTCATATTGGTAAGGGCCATACGGTTGTTTCCTCCTAACCCCCCCCCCCGTATTAAAATGGCCTTTCTTGTAGATTTAGCCAAAATGTAGTTGAAACCAGCGGACGGACAGAGAGCCGTATCCCAAACCGACCGTCGAGAATAAGTGGTTGTAACTCCTGCTTCCTATTTGGGAGGTTTTCTGACGCAGTGACTACTCTGTTTTCGCACATAATTTTTGTGAATTTCTTTATTGCCTTTAAACAGTTGTTAAGTGGCGGCTTTGGGAAGTCCATAGTGGCTTATTTCCACACCTTGCCCACTATATTATTGTCTGCAGTCATGCAAATGGAGGCTGCATGAAATATTCAGTCGAGAAACAACTTTAAATAAATAACAAAGTATAAGGCACGATATTTCCATGATATGTTCACTTTATGCATGAAAGGATGTTTTGTTTAGTTCAGGCGATGAAATGTCGGCCACAAATAACGCACGCTAGAAGTCAGCGAGTTTTTAAATCGCTTTCGGCATAAAATGCTGTGCTTCCAAATGAGTGTGTTGCTTCTCGTTTCGTCACTGTTTGACCACCTGCGGCCCGGCGCTTTGATGAAATGTCGGCACTGGTTGATCGAGTGCTCCCTTTAGGGTGGTCTAAATTGCAGTACTATTTCTCTCTGTCCATTCATGTTGTTATTTACCACAGGAGGTAAATCATTTCGCCCTCAATCTGCCTATAGATATTGGTGTATGTACGCTCAGGTTTCAGCGTACAGAAATAAACTGTTTCGTACCGCAGTAATTTAGTGTGTATTTGATTGTCAGTGGAGGTGAGAAGGTTAATTTGCATGTCCCAGTGCGATCTTGAAGGAAGATTCCCCAAGTCGTTCTCAAAACCTGATATTGAATAGAAATTAAAAAAAAACATCGGTTCTCAAGTTCGGACGAGAGTTTTTTTTTTCAGGTTTCAAGTATTGTTAAATTTCATTCAGTCATGGGGTTTCTTTTCTTCTGCCCGGCCTAGCTTGATTTCTAGCTTTTTATGCATTTTATTCATATCGGGCTTAAAGGCTTCGGTTGCAGCCTGACATTTGTAGTGATATACACAGGTAGCCTACTTGCCAAATAAAAATATTTAACGATGTTTCTAAGAAAACGTATCATAATATTCATTTAGCTAATGCAAGGTACTAATTAAAGATTTCTGATTTCTTTAAAGAGAGAAAATAACGGATCATCAGCATAAACTGTGTGTTTCATAAGTTCCACATAATATTATCAGGCAGTGTATGTTAGCATAACTATTTTCCAGTGAAAGCAAAGGCCTAATTTTAAATGCACTTACGAAAATTGGTTGTCACCATTTTTAAATTAAGAAGAAAATTGAATTTTACTGTTAAAGATTCTCCTCGCCACGTTGGTACTCTATAACACATTAAGAACTTTGCGTGAAAAACGTTTACACGCGTTTGGAATATTCTGTCACATTAAAGATTATGTCTTCACTAAATCCGTAAATATCTCGCACGGTCCCATGTTGTTTCATTCAGTTTATATAAATATAATGTGTCTGTAAGGTATTTTGTTATCAAACAAGCAACGGGATAGTGCGCTGAATGTTAATCACTTTTCCTGCCATTTTAGATTTATTAAGCTACGCATTTATGCGTGTTTTAGTGAAGAGCTATCTCTAACGGACTTGTGGAAACAGGTCAATACGTTGAAAACTACTCGAAAACGAGGATAAAGTATATTAAAATGCATGGCAATGAGAAGAAAACATCGGATTGACTGCTGGGAGGAGAAGATAGAGGCCTGTAATAGGTGCAGTGACACGTGGCGGAGAACTAATGAACTTTGCGGTCGTAGTTTCAACGAAACTTTTTATTTCTACATATTTGTTGTACGATTTGTTTCGGAATAAACTGCTAAATAAGTCTTCTTCCTTGTGTCCCTCTTCAGCATGCGTATAGGATTATCGTAAGCCTATTTTTGTGTCCATCAAAGTTGTCGCCGCAACCGTGCAATCTTCCAGCACATGGCGGCATGCACTTTTCCGAAGGCCATTGCCACTTCCACGTGTCTTCATTCTCCCTCCAGCAGGAAGGAAGGAAGCGTTAGATATCCCCAGTGTTGTCCTGTCAGTGGGAGAGTATGACAAATCAAGGAGCTAAGCCTCTTTCCCGCCATCCGCTATTCTCTGATTACCCATCAATCAACATCGGAAAGGAAGTTGGATGCACTGCCAAGGCAGCGTTAAGCGCGCTAAGAGTGTTCAATGTGACTGGTTGCAATGTGCGTTTCATAATAGGTTAGGGTTGTAATTAAAATTTATCTCACTCTAGGTTAAGTGCTTCAGATGAAATAACGCCTAACATTCGTGTTTACTGAAAATGTGTTGCGATAATCATTTCCGAAGTTTCTGAAGTTTCACATAGGAATCCCAAGCTGGTAACAGAATTCCGTGTGTGTGCCTGACTTTTGTTTGTTTACTGGATTTCTGGTGTGGTAACTCCTGAAGCAGTGACACCGAAGTCGAACCTGAAAGGTTAGTAATTACAATAATTGTTGCTGTAGGTAAGCTTGTTAGTTCACCTTGTGTTGTGGAAACATAAGATTAGTTGCACATATAGCGAGCCTTAGGGACCTACACTTAAATGTTACGTTCCTACTTTATCTGACCCCCTCCCTCTGTCCAGACACACACACGCGCGCGCGCACGCACAAACACTATTAACAGGGAGCTATTCTGCTGAAGTAGCAAGAAAATAGTATGAATATGCAGTAAGAATTGCATTCAAATTAGAGGAACAGTTCTGTTACTTGTGATGGTTATGTTCATTCAACGTCTCAAGGTTCTTTGAATCAGATTCGTGCCGTTTTTGTGGCCTATGCCTATAGAACACGTTTCGTACCATGGTTGGTAATGTATACTTATTGTCGTCACACTCTCAATGCTATTATTATGCAAGAAATAATGGGAAAATAACTTGGACTCGAACCCATGCATGTAATATGTGCACGAAGATTTCCCTCCTAAAGGTAATTATTTGTATTTACAGTCATCCATATCATCATTAATTTCAGAGTTCGGAGAATGACAAACATACGGACTGACGGATGTTGTGAATTACATATATAATTAGATATAACGATAAGGTTGTTATTTCGCCTTGCCATAGGTATGACACCCCATGTCCAGACCGCATAAATGGTGGACTCGAAACACGGCTATCCTAGGGTAATACAGTTTATAACTCTAATATTCACAATTCACAAATATCCTGTAACACGAAATATAAGATTCGTTTCTTACACCTGTGTACATACAGATGTATGCCTTTTGTTTATCGATAAGATACATTGTGTGTATTCGTTTCCAGTGAGTATAGGTTTGGATTACAGATATATCATCATCATCATCATCAGTAATCTGTCAAGATGACAGGTCCACGGTCTCTTCCAAAACAGTTCCTCCACTTGATGCGATCTAGAGCTTTCTCCTTCAAATGAAAATATCCTCTTCTGTCCCCAAGTCCATCCAGCATCTTCTTACGTCTTCTTCCTCATCGTCTGGTCACTTCTGTCCGCCCCTCTATCTTTCCTTCAATAACTTCTTTTAGAAGGCAGTTACCGTGTAAGATATGATCAATCCAATTAGCCTTCCGTTTTCTTATTTCATGTAGGATATTCCTCTGCTCACTGACTCTAAATAACACTTCTTCATTTCTCACATAATTGGTCCAACTGATCTTCTGCATCCTTCTCCAACACCACATTTTGAAACTTTCCAGATGTTTCTGATCTACTGCCCTAAGTGTCCATGTTTCAGCCCCATACAGAGCTATGCACCAAATGTAGCATTTCACTAGTTTCTTCCTCAAATTTAAGTCCAATTTGCTGGTAAAAAGATTCTTCTTCTTNATGCTTCCATTGGCTGGATCGACAGATTTAGGAGACATGACATTGTTTACAAAAAACTATCAGAAGTGTTGACCCAGAAACTGTAGAAGACTGGAAAAATTATCAACTACTGCAAGAAACAGAAGATTATGACCACTGTGATGTAGTATACATAGGTTGGATAAAGGCTGCGCCATAGCTCAAGTGGTTAGTTGCTGGCTTCCCACCATGGTGGCCCGGGTTTGATCCCAGGTCTGGTCAAGTAGGATTTATGGTGGACAAAGTGGCGCTGGGGCAGGTTTTCTCCAAGTACTAAGGTTTCCCCTTCCAATCTTCATTCCACCAATTGCTCCACAATCACCCTCACCTACCATCTGGGGCTGGTACAATAGGCCAGAAGTGGCTGCAGTACAAGGGATTTAGTCCCACCCCACTAGCAATAAAAAAATAAAAAAATAATAGGTTGGATAAAAAGTAGTGGCAACACCTCTATAGTTCTAAAATGACTTTATTACCCGAGGTAAACACACTTACATTCCTTCAACGAAATCGCCCCCCATGTGTACCACTAATGCCGGTGGTAGTGATAAACTAGCACCTCTTGTAAGTGGAAAATATAAATGTCCATGTCAAGGACGTCAAGGGACTACCTGCAAAATATGAAGCTAAAACAAATTCTTGGGTGACCACCAAAATTTCTGTAGATTATCTAATCAAATGGTTAGAAAACTGCGTGCTGATAATAAAAAAAATCACTTCTATCAGTGTACTGCTCATGCGAAAAACACTACATTTTTCAGCGACATCAAAGCTCTATTTCCCTAGCTAACTATAACATCCAGCCACAGCTGTTATTTTGCGGAATTGTCCATGTATTCAAGTTCCATTATAGAAAGCAGTTCATTTTGAAAACTGAAAGTTTAAATCTTATATTTATAGACCCTTACTATACTATGTATCTTACATTAACCACACAAAGTTTTCAGTATATCTGAAGCCTACCTCCACTATCTGCTACTGGCCAAAACATGTTACAGTTTCAGCATATTATTTCTAAGGTGCCAGTTTGAAAAAAAAAATACAGGATCTCATCATTCAATATTACATGTCTTCATCCATAAATACATACTTACAAATCTCATTGGGTGATATATACGACTTCTCCTCTTCTTTGGGGTTCATCTTGTGATCCAAATATAACGCCCCTCGTGGCAGTTGACCCTCTGAAAATAACAGATCTTTAATACAATACAGTAAATTCCAACAGATACCAAATTTTTTTTCCAAGAGTGTGTGTGTGTGTCTCTCTCTCTCTCTCTATATATATATATATAGGCTCTGTGTTTTAGACATATACCCCAACAGTTCCTTGATGTCTGCAGTGGGGATGATTCCCTTACTGTCTACCTTCTCCTCAGCCAATGGTTGCTGCTGGTCCATATGAATATCCCGCAGCTCCTCAGTGGTCTGCTTAGCATTGTGGTCTTTCACCAACTCCTCAACATCCTCACTATACACTTCCAGGCCCATGAACATCCCCAGGGTCACTAGTTCCTCCACCACTGCAGCATTCTGTTCAGACTCCTCCAAGTCTCTGGCTGATACAGAGACTGACCAGAGATTCGTTCAGGAATATCACATATTCCTGTAAGAAACTTGGTCCCAGGCTTTGTCTGTAATCCTCAGGCAGTGGAGGATATTGAAATGATCTTTCTAAAAGTCCCTGAGGATTAGCCGGGTCCCTGAAGTCACCTCAAAGCACCTTTTGAAAATTGCCTTGCCAGTGAAATTAGAAATTACTTGTTGGATGAGAGGAGTTTTTTTTGGGGGGGGGCAATAGTTTCTCCTGGATGAAGCCATATTCAGCATTAAAATCTTCCAATCCTGGATGGTGTGCAGGTGCATTGTCGAAAACAGAAGGGCCTTGAGAGGTAAATTATTCTCCTCACAGATATTTCTTCAAACCAGGGCCAAAAACTTCATCAAACCACTCAGTGGAGAACTGCCTAGTTATTCAGGATTTAGGATTTGACCTCAACATTACACTAAGCCTGTTTTTGTGCACAGTGCTTTCCTTAATAGCCCTGGGGTTTTCTTAGTGGTACACTAACAGTGGTTTTATCTTGAAGTCCCATTGGCATTAACACACATTAACCTACCTTTCATAGGAGTGTGTCCTGTTAAAGCCTTCTTTTCCTTTGTGATTTAGGTCCTCTTTAACATTTCCTTCCAGAAGAGGCCTGTCTCATCACAGTTGAATACTTGCTGGGGGATAAGACCCTCCTTATTCACAAAGTCTTTTAATTCCTTCACAAATTTTTTGGCAGCATCTTTATTTGCACTGGCAGCCTCCCCATGTCTAACCACACTGTGAATGCCTGTACTTATTAACTAACTCATGGAGTTGAGCCCTTCTTGAGGAGCCGTCAATTCTGCAGCTACTCAAGAAATTCCCATCATTTTATGGAACCCGAAGGTTCATTACTGATCCCTAACCTGAGCCAGATAAATCCAATCCATACCATCCCATCCTATCTCTCTAAGATCCATATATTGTTCACCCACTTACACCTTCGTCATCCCAGTGGTCTCTTTCCTTCTATCTTTCTCACCAATATCCTATGTACATTCTTCTTCTCCCCCGTTCATGCCCTGCCCACATCATCCTCCTTGACTTGATCATTCTAATTATACTTGGAGAAGAGTACAAGTTATGAAGCTCCTCATTATGCAGTTTTCTCCAACCTCCTGTGACTTTATCCCTCTTGGGTCCAAATAATCTCCTCAACACCCTGTTCTCAAACACCCTCAGTCTATGTTCCTCCCTTAATGTCAGAGACGAAGTTTCACACCCATACAGAACCACAGGCAAAATTGTGGTTTTGTATATTCTTATTTTTATGTTTTTTGACAGCAGACAGGAAGACAAATGGTTCTGGACTGAATGGTAGCAAACATTACCCGAGTTCATTCCCCACTTAATTTCTTCCTGTATCAGGTTTTGATTTGTTATTGTCATTCCCAAATATCTGAACTGT